CACACCTATCAGCCATACATGTGTTCTTGTTTTCCCAGGACTAACCAAAAAAAAAATAATATATATATATATAATCAAGCTTTTAACTTTTTACTAATCTTATAGGTGAGAAGTGATATTTCAGTGTAGTTAAAAAAATTTTTTTTGACAAGTAGTACAATTTCTGTGCAGCCTTTACCCAGATTCTCCCAATGATAAAATCATATATAACCAGAGCACAATGATCAAAATCAGGAAATTAACATTAATACTTTAAATTATAGACCTTATCCAGATCTCAACAGTTTTTAATGCACTCATTATTTTTGGTGTACATTTCTATGAAATTTTATCCTCAGAGTAACTATAATTTGCACTTCTTTTATGGTGAGTGAGGTGATCATTTTCCTTGTTTAAAGATCATTTTAGCATCTTTGTTCATTAATTGTCTGTTCCTGTTTTTGTCCATTTTTATCAAATTTAGAGATTCATTCATATATTAGTGTGAATAGTCCTTTATGCACTATATACGTCATAAATACTTTCTCCCAATTTGTCAGTTGTCTTTTCACTTTGCTTATGGTGTTTTTGACATGTAAATATTAAAAGGAAATTTTATGTAGTCAAATTTACTAATCTTTTATGGCACCTGGATTTTGAGTCATAGTTAGAGGCCCCCCCCCACAAGTTATGGAGAAATTCACCCATGTATTCTTTTAATACTCGCAGTTTCATTTTTCACATTTAGATGCTCATCATTTAGGAGTTTATTCTTGTGCATTGTGTGAGGAGTGGATCCTGAGTCAGAAGAATAAAACCGAGAAAGCATTCTTGGGAGAACTGGAGAAATCTGAATAAAGACCCTGTATTAGACAACAGTATTAAATAAATGATAAATGTGCTCAGCGGTATAATGGTATTGCTCTTATGAAGGATAATGTCTTTTATGAGATCTGCAGTATTTACGGTTGGTTGATCGTTAGAATGTTTTCAATTAACTCTCACATGATTGAGCAAAATTATAGATACAGAAGAGAAGGATTAATAAACTGTGACAAAATATTAGCAATCGATAGCAGGCATATGGGTATCTACTTTATTACTCTTGCAACTTTCCTCAAGGCTTAAAAATTTGAGAAATATGAAGTTGGGAGGAAGTGTGCCACCGCAGGGCTTGGGTAGGCGGACGGGGACGCCGGGCCCCTTTAAGGTGGCCCCGCCCCTTACGTCCTGCCTGGGCCCCGCCTACCCGGAAACACTCGGCCGAACCCCGC